CCCCCACCAGCAGTACCATGGCCCTACCCGTCTCTTACCTGGTGCAGGTGGACCAGGCAAGGCTTGAGTCCTGTGACTGACCCAGAAATCCAGGCAGTTGAGACCTGCACATTGAGCCTTGTGCCTGGAGCAGGACAGGTGTCAGGCAGCACAGTTAAGCAGGTCAGAGTTGTTTGTGGTGTCACCTGCCCCCTGCACCTTTCCAACTATAATCTGTTCTGAGCTGAGCCGGTTTGGGGTTATGTTTTCCCTTGTTAGTCAGAGGGGACCCAGAACACTGAACAACGCCCAGGACAAAAAGGGCTGCCTGGTGGGTGTAATGGCAGGAGGAGGACAGGCATTTGGGGGCTGGGCTGACCACAGCAGGTAGGCAGGACTGTCACACCCCCCCAGGCCACATATAACTATGCCCTTAGAGTCAAGACACTGATATTGAATATTAAAGAGAAAGTTACCAAAGGTGTGCCCCATTTACAATTCCTGAATGGCTTAGACCACAATTTCTAGCTTTCGCACCCCACTCTCCTGACATATTTCGTTCTTGCCCCTGACTTCAGCCGTCAGCCTTTGCCTCCTGAACGTCTCTCTTTGATGCCCTACAATCCCTGAAACAGACTTCTAGACCCCTCCAACCCAGTGGTCCTCCTCCCCTCAGCCCCCATTTCTTTTTTTTTTTTAATTTATTTTAATTGGACGTTAATTACTTTACAATATTGTGGTGGTTTTTGCCATACATTCACATGAATCAGCCATGGGTGTACATGTGTTCCCCATCCTGACCCTCCCTCCCCATCCCCATTTCTTTTTTTGATATTTTTAATTTTTATACATTTATTAGCTGCACCAGATCTTAGTTGCAGCATGTAGGATCTGCTTGATGCAGCGAGCAGGATCTTTAGCTGCAACATGTAGGATCTTTCTAGTTGTGGCATGCAGGATCTAGTTCCCCAACCAGGGATAGAATCCGGGCCCTGCTCTGGGAGCACAGAGAATTGCCTCAGGCCTACTTCTGTCACCCTACCTCAGAGAAGGCATGCACCCTGCCTCTGCCCCACCCCTGTGAGAGCTCCCCACCTTCAGCCTCTCCCTTCTCCAAGCTATGTCCCAAGGAGTCTCCAAGTGGGTGTTTTGTTTGTTTGGAACAACACAATTAACTGGCTTGATTTAGTAAGTTTAATGTATTTAGACTTATCCAACAGCTAGGTGATACTTTTTCTCAAGCATACATGGAGGGTTTATAAATATTAACCACATCCTAGATTACAAAGGAAGTCTCAAATACAAAAGTTCAGCACCATACATACCATTGTATATTGTCGGCATAAATGAAAAGATAATATAAAACAACTGACCATTTTAAGCACTTATAAATGGATCAACAAAGGTACCATAAGGGTAATCAAAATCCTTTAAACTGAGTTAAAAATACTATATATTGAAATTTGTGGGATATAGCTAAAATAGTACTTGAGAAGAAACTTATAGTCTTAAATCCTTATGTCTGAAAAGAGGAAAGGCTGAAATTTAATATGCCAAGTATTGAAGTTAAGAAAATAGAAAAAGAACAACAGACTCGATCCCCTGAAAATAGAAGTCGTGAGAAAAAGTTTAGCAGAAATTTAAAAATTAAAGGAATAAAGTAAAAAAAAATTAAAGAATTAAGCAGAAAAATTATGTAAATGAAATAGATAAGTCCCCTGGTGAAACTGATTTTTTTTTTTTTTTAAATTTTTAGGGAAGGAGATGGAACCTGAAGGTCTCTGAAGACCTGGTCCCCAGCCTTTTGCTCCCTGCCTGGCTATGCCCACACTCCTGCTCTGGGGCCATGGTCTCGGAAGAGGCACCCTGCTGTCTGCACGGCAGTTTTACTGCCTGGCTCCCCTGCTCTTCTGCTCCGCCCTGACCCCAGGCACAGCTTCTGCCACCTTCTGGGTAGACAGACTCATGTCACCTCTCCTGCCAACACAGAGTACAATGCGATGGACTCCACCCTCGCGTTTTCCAGCCATTCTGAGCTGCTTTTGGTATTCTCAGTCAGGTAAGGGCTTTGCTCCTGCTCGCCACTCTGAGCGGGCTGCCCTGCTCTTCCCCATTCTCCTGTGAGTAGTTTTGTCATACTGGGGCTTTTACTCTATCTCCAGTCACTAGTCCATTTAGGGGGCCAAGTCTGCCCAGCCAAGACGAAGGGGTGAGGCATGGTGGGGCCCCTTGTCTGTCCTGACCCACCAACTCCCTATCAACCCTCTAATTCTGAGATCCCACCAACTCCCTATCAACCCTCTATTCTGAGATCACTGGGTCAGCAAGAAGAGGCTGAGCCTCTGACAGGCATTCTCCCAGTTATCCTGAGACGGGCTGCCCTCCACCCCCAACTCCACCCTTGCCTGAGGAGTGGGCCTCAGACTTTTTCTCTCCCCGAAACTGATTATTATAAAAAAGGAAAAGACACAAGAAAGAATTGTAGGAGTGAAAAAGGAGACATACTTGAGACAGAACAGAGATTTAAAAGTTAGTCAAGGAAACAGAATGCCATAATCTTTAAAGCTTTCAAGAAACATCCGGAAAAATTATTAAACAAAATTCACTCAAGGAGTAAGTAGTAGAAAACTTGAGTGCACTTATATCATGAAAAAAAATTGAGTTTCTAATTAAAATGTTTTATTTAAAAAATTTTAAATCTTATGTATTATTTATTTATTTGGCTGCACCAGGTCTTAGTTGCGGCACAGCACATGGGGATCTAGTTCCCTGACTAGGGATTGAACCCAGGGCCACCTTCATTGGGAGCATAGAGTCTCAGCCACTGCACCATCAGGGAAGCCCCTAAAAAGTTTTAATATACAAAACAACAGAAACAACAGGCAGTTTTATAGATGGGTTCTACAAAACTTAAAATAGATAATCTCAGTGTAACATTAGTAAGTCTGTTAATGAATTAAAAATATCAATAGATAAAGGAAATTTTAAAAACAATATTTTCAATAGATGCCAAAAAAAATCCTGATACTTATTCAGTTTAAGATGTATCACAGGTGGGGAGCAGAGACAGTAAATATGCTCAATGATAAAGGGTTCCTTTTCTGATCAGAAAGGAGACAGGGATACCCAGGACCACTCTTTTCACACATCATTTTTCTGCAGGTCCTAGCTGGTGCAGTATAACAAGAAATAAGACACACAAGGGTTAGAAAGGCAAGAAACAAAATATCATTGTTCTCAGATGATAGCTAGGGTTGTACTAGAAAACAAGAAAAACTATAAAACAAATACTGACGGACAAATTAAGAATTAGTAACATAGCTTACCAAGTTGTGGGATCAATACACAACAATCAATTGCTTTTCAGACTCTCCAGGAAACAGAAAATGATCAAAAATTTCCGTTTGCCACTGCATCAAAAAATAACATAACAATCAAATGAGCAAATGCTGTGGAAGGCATGTCCCAGCAGAACATGGAAACTAAGGCAAAGAGATGGAACACTGGTTGGCCCTGCAGACCTGCTCAGCTGTCCCATCGTATCTTAATGTCAGGTCCATTGGCCCAGGAGGATGTCAGCTCAAGAATTGAGAGATGTAAACTTGGTGAAACCAGGAAGACCAAAACTGATAGAGCATGCCTGGCAGGCTCTGAACTTGGGGGGCTGCCTGTTCTGGGGGTTAAGGATCCAGAGCTACGTGCATGCTGAGTCGCTTCAGTCATGTCTGACTCTGTGTGACCCTATGGACTGCAGCCTGCCAGGCTCCTCTGTCCATGGGATTCTCCAGGCAAGAATACTGGAGTAGGTTGTCCGTGTTCTCCTCCAGGGGATCTTCCCGACCCAGGGATCAAATTCACATCTGTTACGTCTCCATTCTTATACAGTCTCTGATGTCCTGATGCCCACAGTTGTTTGGTTCATCCATTGCCCGGTATCTAAACTCCCCTCAGTGACCCCGACCCCCATGAACGACCATTTGCACTTCCTAACTAGAAGTCCCAGAATGAGCAGCAGCAGGAAGCCTCTATCCAGGTCTTGTGTGGCCTGCAAGACCCTACTTCTCTTTAGCTAGATCGGGGGTCTGCAGCGCTTTTCTGCAAAAGGTGAGAGGGTAAATATTTAGACTTTGCAAGCTATATGGTCTCTGTCTCAACTATCAGCTCTCTCATTACAGTGTGAAACAAACTGAAGACAACATGTACAGAGAAGTAAAGCTGTGTTTCAGTAAAACTTTATGGACACAAATTCAAATTTCATCTACTTTAAAAAATATTTATTTTACTTGGGTGCACCAGGTCTTAGGTGCAGCATGCAGGATCTTTTAGCTGTGGCATGTGAGATCTAGTTCCCTGACCATCAATGGAACCCAGGCCCCCTGCTTTGGGAGTGCAGAGTCTTAGCCACTGGATCACCAGGAAAGTCCTCACATACTTTTCACATGCCAAAATCCTATCTTTCCTTTGATTTTTTTCAACCATTAAACATCGAAAAAACCATTTTTATTCACAGGCCACACAAAAGCAAGTGATAAGACCACTGGCTAAGGGCCACAGTTTGTCAGTCCTTGCTTCATCTGGCATTGCTCCAGGCAGCAGAAGGTGAGGCTGGGTCTTTGAGGCCTGGTTGGAAATAAAGGGTCTTTTGGGAACATCAAGGATTGCAAATAATGCTGAGAAAACACTTCTGGGGATGGGGGGGGCGGGGTCAAGTCATCTTTAACAGCCTTAAGTGACTTCCTTGACCCTAAGTTAAGGTCAGAACTACTTAGCATGGCATTGTGACCCTATGTGACCCGACTCCTGCCTGCTGAGCCGCTTTCAGTGACCCCTGCCTCCCTGGTGGCTCAGAGGATAAAGCGTCTGCCTGCAATGCGGGAGACCCAGATTCTATCTCTGGGTTGGGAAGATCCCCTGGAGAAGGAAATGGCAACCCACTCCGGTATTCTTGCCTGGAAAATGCATGGACGGAGGAGCCTGGTGGGCTACAGTCCATGAGGTAACAAAGAGTCGGACACGACTGAGCGACTTCACTTTCTTTCATTTTCACTTTGCCTCCCTTGAGGGTTCCTGGTCCCTCTATCAGGGCTGTGCCTTCCCCATGCTTTCCCTGTGCTGGGGGCAGACCTGTGCCGGCCACGTTCCCCAGGCTGAGCTGGGAGACTCTCCTGCTTCTAGAGGTTTCTCCCCTGCTTCTAGCTGCCCTGATTCACAGCTGGTCTGCTGCAGCTCCCCACAGTGGGCTGAGGACTTCTTGTCTTGTTGCCGCATCTCCGCGTGGTAAGGCAAGGCTTACAAGTGGGGCTTAGTGAGTGTCAGTGAGCTGGAGAGGTCATCCTGGGAGGCTTCCAGAAGAGAAATCAGAATTTCTGTCCTGGTGTTGAGACTTGAGATTTTCCCATCAGGAACCCCCTGAGGAATTTTTGGTCCCAACACTGGTCCACAGGAGTGATTCTTGTTCTGCTTCCGGCTTGAGTCTGGGAAGGGAAACATCATCTGCACTACTGGATTCCTGCAGCAGGGAGCTCGGGAGTTAGTGGAGCAAAGGCTCTGAGCTGACCCACCCAGGGGTACTCACTAAAGCCTTCCTCTCTCACTTTCTAGGTGTGCAGACTCATTCCCACCCCTTCACAGGACTGTGAAATACTGTGGATGCTCTTGTGAACCAGGGAGGTGTTTAATTACTAACCCCTTCTGTGCTTGGGAGGCAGGTGCACTGGGGCGGGGGTGATGCTCCTGGTTTGAGGTTTCCATCAGGAACAGAGCAGCCGGGGGCCCCTCCTAGCAGCAGCGCCCATGCCCCTTCCCACACTCATTGACTTCTCCCAGCCACAGGCTTCTCCCACACCATAAGGAAGAGAAGTCTTTGGAGAGATGAAATTGAGGTAATGGGGGCAGAGCTGTTGAGGGCTGGAGTGTGGGCCAAGGAGAAGGGAGGCAAGGGTCCTTTGTTCCCTGGAACTCAACACATGAACAAAGAAAATGTGAAAGAATGAGACTGGAAACCAGGGCTGCTGAGGGAGGTCCGCGGGTGGGTGGTGGGGCAACTCTCCCCAGGACGCCAGGGACCGACAAAGAAGGTCACAAAAGGAGTTGCTGGACATCCAAAGAGTCACGGCGTAGGGAGGGGCCATCCTCTCCTGGAGGGTATCTGCGTGAAGGAGGTTTCAGAGGTAAGGCCTTGGAAAAGCAAGGCCAGCTCACCAGCTGGAGGGTACGCAAACGGAGCAGAGACAGCAGAGGTGGGCGTCCGTCTGGCACTCCCTGGGCAGGCCCATGGCCTTGAGGCTCCGGCGCCACAGCCGAAGGGGAACGACTTGGTTCTGGCATCTGGAGCAGGCCACACTCTGACCAGAGTCCTCATGCTGACAAGAACTCCTGCCAACCTGCAGGAGTCCTTAGAGACCCGACTTTCCCATTTGTAAGCAGCGGCAGGAGGAGGGAAGAGGGTGGGGAAAAAAAGAAAAAGGAAGCCAGATTGAGAAACAACTCGATATGCAAGTCTCGGCGCTCCCGCACCTGTGGGCGGCTGCAGAAGCTGGGGTTGGGGGGTGAGGGGTGGGCGCGGTCCGTCGGGTACGCGACCGCATCCCCAGTGTCTGCTCTCTGAAGCCGGCGCCCTCAGAGCCGCCCCACCGGCCGGTGTGCTGTGTAATCGATAGGAGGAGAAGTGGGGTCATCCCCGCTCCACCCCACCAAGGACGCAGTGCCGGGCTAGCTGGGCCTGGCGGGTAGGGTAGACGGTCCCACCTTGCAGTTTCCCAGAGGAAAGGGGATGAGGGTATACCCTCCTGGCCCCCAGGATCCCAGCAGTGCGGTTGCGGGGCGGAGCCGCCGCAGACACAGCCCAGGCCGCAGAGGGTGGGGCGGGGCCTCAAGGGAAGGGGCGGGGCAGGGCCGCCCTGGCCGGTCTGGAAGCTGCTGGAAGTGTCGCAGCACCGCCGCCCTGGCTCCTTCCGCCGAATGTGCAGGCAAAGAGTCCCCTCGCCGGCTGGAGCCAGCGCCCGACCCGCAGCCGGAGCCACGCCCCGCGGCGAAACGCCGGCCCGCCCCCGGGAGGGCCTGTATTCCGGGCATGCCCACGAAGCGGGACCTCTAATTCCGCAACGCCCGCGGAAAAGACCCCTTTCCCGCATCAGGCAGTTGGAGTATGTGTAGGGCAGCTTCTAATGAGGAGGTCGAACCTAGGAGTAGCGGGGAGTGGGTGACCCCTGTTTAGGCTAGGACCTTAGTCCCGAGGCTGGGACTCTCGGGAGTGGAGACGCCTGCCCTGCAGGTTTTTACAGAGGTCAGTGGGTAATCCTCGCCTCTAGTTCCACCGCCTATGTTATATGAGCACTCCCAACATCTGTTTCTGATGGTGTCCTGTTTTTGGAGCGCGGAAACAGGGCTGTGAACATGAGTAAATACGTGAGCTCTCCGGGCCGGCGGCTCCCGCCTTTCACGGCCCCCTACCCTATTTTGGACCATGACGTCACGGTGGGCGGGCGGGCGGGCGGTGGCAGGTGCGCGGCCGACAGGCATCCTCCTTTAAGGCGGAGGGATCCGGGGGCGGGCAGCTGAGCTGTGCTTCGCCTTATATAAAGCGATTGGGGGCACACAGCCGTTCTCTTGAGTCACCCCCGTGCAGCCTTCTTGCGGCGATTGAGCCGGAGGCAGCCATTGCCCTTTCGGTGTTCTCTAGTACCTGTGATTCTTAACCTTGAAGGTAAGGTTCCGGTCTTATCTGGGCTTTTCAGGTAACTTGTTCTTTTTCGTTGCTTTCGGCCCATGCGTCCTTTCCGAGACCTACATCTTGTTTTGGGGCGGCTTTTGGCCTAACGCTCCCATTTCTTCTCTTGGGGAGGGGGTGGGAGCGAGCTCTGAATTAGACATTTTTCTGCTGTTGGCGGCGGAGCTGCTTTTCCGCAGCTATTAAGCGTCGTTTTGTGGGGCCGCAGAATAGGGCGGAGGGGTAGGCATTGCACGTGGTGGCCGCGCCGGCCCGGGACGCTGCCATGTTTGTCTCTCCACTTCCGGACGCGGCTACGGGGGCCCCGGAGGGTCCCCGATCGGGGCTGGTGGGCGCGCCCGCTGTGACTCAGCAAGGCTGGTCATGACCAGGTTTTGCCACTTCTTTTGTAGGACGCAATTTCTTAAAAGTTCTTTTGTTCGGGGCTTTTCCGTGAGGGTCTGCGGCGAGCTCTGTTTTTGGTTGCCGGCGGCGTTTATCGTGCTTCCTCCATCCTTCCAGATCTTTCCTGCGCCTCGGTGGAGGAGGGGCTGGCGAGCGGAGGGGGACGGCTCTGGGATTCGTGGGCACGTCCCTTCCCCCGCCCCTCTCCGAGAGCTGAGATTGTTCTGGAAGCTTCTGGAGCCCGGCGCCCCGCCCTGGTGCCCGGATGCTGGGGCGAAGGGAGGCTGCGCGGTGGCGCCCCCTCCTCGTGTGGTCGACGCATGTCCAGCCGTGACGAGAGTCGGCCCCGCAGACTAAGGCCACCATCTTAGTGTTTGGTTTGGTCTTGAGTTTCAGTCACGTGTGCTGAGGGGTTACGATGGAGCCCTTGCTTTATCGGTTCTTTGTCTTAATAGCCCACCTGGATGGGCATCCCGCCAATCTCGCGTTAGCTGTTTCTACGGGACAGCTCCCTACGGGAGGCAGCAGTACCACATTATCTCTTTGGAGTTATCTAATGGGAGGACAGTTTTAAATCATTGCCCTTTAATGTGAAACTAGTTACCTTGAAGGTAGAACTATAGTCAGTAATTTGCGTATTTAAATTTGTGTGAATCTACCTCAAGCGTTCGCGATACCTGGGTTGGAGTGCCTAACAAATGAACTAGATTGTGCTGATTTATGATTCACTTAACAGCAGTTTGGCTTCAAAATACAAGAAATACTAACGCAATTTGTTCAACGCGTTAGGCGCGCCCCTCCCCACATTGTTTCTAAGGGTGCTGCCTGAAATTGATAGAGGGGGGGAGGATTTTCCAGTCTTAGTACCCAGCTCAAAACAGTTTGAGTAGAGTCTCTAACTGGGTATTGTGGCTGAGGGTGAACTTGAGGAGTCTTAAATTCTTGCCTTTTTATTTTAGATGCCTGAGGAAGTGCACCATGGAGAGGAGGAGGTGGAGACGTTTGCCTTCCAGGCAGAAATTGCCCAACTCATGTCTCTTATTATCAACACCTTCTATTCCAACAAGGAAATTTTTCTTCGAGAGTTGATCAGTAATGCTTCTGATGTGAGTGCCTTTAATGTCTTCATTGATATTGGTTATTTGTTTTTCAAGTACTCCAAGAGAGGGAAAGTGGGAGTGGTTTGGCATTTTGTGGTGTTTACTGATAAAGGGGATATAAATTTAACTGCCGTTCCAAAAACTATTGCCTTGCTCTCTGTGGATAGATAGGGTACTGTAACCCACTGGATGTGGTTCTCAACCTACAAGCTAAAGGGGTAATCAGAATTAGGGTGTTTGGAGAATTTAAAAAACTCTTGGGTGAGATGGGATTTGAGGAAGCAGAATTGTAAAATTGAAATTTTTTACTTTTAGGCCTTGGACAAAATTCGTTATGAGAGCCTGACAGACCCTTCCAAATTGGACAGTGGTAAAGAGCTGAAAATTGACATCATCCCGAACCCCCAGGAGCGTACTCTGACTCTGGTAGACACAGGCATTGGCATGACCAAAGCTGATCTTGTAAATAATTTGGGAACCATTGCCAAGTCTGGCACTAAAGCGTTTATGGAGGCTCTTCAGGTACGTGGTTAGTTAGGCACACCCCATTTATATTATTGGTGTTTGCTTTGCCATTTCTTTGAAACTTGAGTTTGACTTTTTTAAACTTTTTGGCAGGCTGGTGCAGACATCTCCATGATTGGGCAATTTGGTGTGGGCTTCTACTCTGCCTACCTAGTGGCAGAGAAAGTGGTTGTGATCACAAAGCATAACGATGATGAACAGTATGCTTGGGAGTCTTCTGCTGGGGGTTCCTTCACAGTCCGTGCTGACCATGGTAAGTTAGCATTCCTGTTACGGTGTCTGGGGAAACTGTAATGAAGATCTTGTACTGTATGTGTAAAGCAGTTATAGTTCTGCGTTTATATAGTTTCTTATACTGTGTTCTGGTTAATTTTTTTCTAGGTGAACCTATTGGCCGTGGTACCAAAGTGATTCTCCACCTGAAGGAAGACCAGACCGAGTACTTGGAAGAGAGGCGGGTCAAAGAAGTGGTGAAGAAGCACTCGCAGTTCATAGGCTATCCCATCACACTTTATGTGAGTATGGATTGGTAACAGGTGCAGGTAACTGCTGCTTTAGAGAATTGCATGGACTTTGGGGTCTCTTTTGCTTTTTTGTACTCTTGACACTGTCATCTTTGATACTTCTAGCTGGAGAAAGAACGTGAGAAGGAAATCAGTGATGATGAGGCTGAAGAAGAGAAAGGTGAGAAAGAAGAGGAAGATAAAGATGATGAAGAGAAGCCTAAGATTGAAGATGTGGGCTCAGACGAGGAGGATGATAGTGGCAAAGATAAGAAAAAGAAAACAAAGAAGATAAAGGAGAAGTACATTGATCAGGAAGAACTGAACAAGACCAAGCCCATTTGGACCAGGAACCCTGATGACATCACCCAGGAGGAATATGGCGAGTTCTACAAGAGTCTTACCAATGACTGGGAAGATCACTTGGCAGTGAAGGTAAGACGTCTTGCTTGTTGGCTCAATAGGAGGAGCTGATATGGACAAATGGAACTTACCCAACTGGTTGGTAGCTGGGAACTGTGAATGCTATGCGTTTATTTGCTAATGGACCCTTCCAGGGTGGAGAAATGACATCTTCCCCAGTGACCTCACTGTCTCTGGCAGCTTTACCCACCTGAAGTCTTTGACCCAAAGATTATATAGTGCTTGTACCATGTTGGATTCATTTAGGGCATTAGGGCTTAAATTTTCTCTACAGGGATAGGAAGATTTTTGTTTCAGATACCTGGACATTTTGGCATTGGGACAAAAAGCCACTCTTGTCTTCAAGTACATAGTTGGCTTATCTTGGATTTCTTTCAGCACTTCTCTGTAGAAGGTCAATTGGAATTCAGAGCACTGCTGTTCATCCCCCGTCGGGCTCCTTTTGACCTCTTCGAGAACAAAAAGAAAAAGAACAACATCAAACTGTATGTCCGCCGTGTGTTCATCATGGACAGCTGTGACGAGTTGATTCCGGAATATCTCAGTAAGTATCTTTTTGCCCTAATGTAGTTCATTTCAGCGTTCTCAGGGGGACTGGAGTCTTTATCTTAAATTAAGGATCCTTTGCAACCTAACAAGTGAAGGTTTGGTGAGAAATCGGTCCTTCTGTTAAATCCAGATGACCTTATATACCTGTTGTGTTTATCCCCGCCACTCCTGTATCTTTAAAACCCAGCTTCCATATTTGATTTCAGACTTCATCCGTGGGGTGGTTGACTCTGAAGACCTTCCTCTGAACATCTCCCGAGAAATGCTCCAGCAGAGCAAAATCTTGA